AAACGGAAAAAAAAAAAAAAAAAAAAAAAAGAGAGAGACCTGAGAAATTGGAGCTGTTCTCATTTATTGATTTGGTTTTGTTGTCAAATGGATAGGAAGCAATGTCCAGAAGGATCAGTGAAATATGTCTGTGAAACCAAACAGACAGACAGTTCATTGGCACTTCTCTTCCTCAAATAAGAACAGACCATTTTGATTTATTAACGCCATGGAGACCATAGAACAGGATGCTTGTGGCTTTGTCCCACTTCCTCTCTCTACAGAGGATCATTTCTTTATCTTTCTCTCTCTTAAAAGACATAGGCTCTTTACAGACAAAGAAATAGGCTCTTTACAGACAAAGAAAAACAAGTAGGGCTCTCAACCCTAGCCATCCATTCATCCTTTCATCTCCCAAGTGGAACTCACAGATTTCATATATTTAATGCCCATTCTCTCTCTCTAGCTCTACGAGAGTAGGAACAACTGACCCATCATAATTTAAAGATGAAAATGAATTTTGAAAGTGACCATTGGGAGACAATTCCAGCTATGTGATGGCGAGAGAGAGAGAGAGAGAGCTCTCTTTTTCTTGGTGGAATGGAGAAGGGGGCTGTTTGGTTCTTGTTAGTGAGAGATGAGATTCTTAGAGTGAGAAAGTTTTCTTCCTTGAAAGGGGGAGGACAGTTTGGTTACACCGTGTGAAAATTATTGAATGTGGCTGTCATAGACCACAACATGGTTGCCCCTTCCTAATTATTGGATGCTCTTTCATCCAACCGCGTAAAATTTCTAACGTGTTCTATCCCTTCGAATACTTTATCCACAACTAGAGAATATAAGAGAACTTTTCGAAAGAGAAGATTCTCTCTTAGGAAAGACATGGGTTTTTTTTTTTTTTTTTTTTTTTTACTGCAATGGTATGATTATTGGACCCTCCCCTCGTTCCGTACTTGGCCTCGGTAGAAAAACATTATTCAACAAAGTCGTCACGTTGCATAGTGTGCAACTGTGAGATTCTCCATCGATTGTAGAGGAGAACGAAACATCATTTTATAAAGATGTGGAAACATTTCCCTAGTGGACGCATTTTAAAATCGTAAGAGAAAGTCTTGAAGGGAAAGTCCATAGAGGACAATATTTACTAGCGATGAACTTGGACTGTTATAAATGGTATCAGAGCTAGACACTGGCCGAGCGTGGACGTTGGACCCCCATAAAGAGGGTGGATTGTGAGATCCCACGCCGGTTGAAGAGGGGAGCGAAGCATTCCTTACAAGGGTGTGGAAACCTTTCCCTAGTGGATGCGTTTTAAAACTTTGAGAGGAACCCCCGAAGAGAAAGTTCAGAGAGAACAATATCTGTTAGTGATGGGTTTGAGTTGTTACAACAAACATCAATCACATTGTTTTAATCATTGGATTCTCTTAGACATTCATTACAAAGCCTTTCAGCTAAGGGAGAGTGTTTTCTCTTATGGAAGGTACAAGTGGTCTATTTGGTCCGGCCTAGAAAATATTATTCAACAGAATCGTTGCATTGTTCTAATTATTAGATGCGTTTATTATATATTCAACCATGTAAAACTGCCGACCAAATCGTTTCAACCCTTCAAATAATAGCAAGAAAACAAGAGACTTAGAGAGGATTTTTCTCTTGTAAGGAACAAAGGAAAGTCGTACAGAAAGACATTATTCAACAAAGTCGTCATATTTAATTACAAAATCGCCAATCACATTGTTCTAACCTCTCTGAGATAACTTCTTGCCGTTACCTCTCACGAGAGGCTGTCATATTTAATTACACACATACATATCTCATTGTCTCATTGTCTGTACTATGTTGTGTTATGGATCAACAAGGCAGTGCTCGGAGTTGAAGCTATAACCCCATGAAAAAAGGGGTAAAGTTTGGATCCAAATGACACTGAAGTTGCATCTTTAAATGAAAGAATCAAACATAATAGAAAGGTAACAAAAAAAAAAAAAAAAAAGTCTTTGTTCCAATTATGGTTAGGTAAAGCATTCATTCATTCCAAATATATCATAACAATAATAGTCCCATCAACCTTGTAATTATCATACCCATCATCCCATCTTTTAGGTTTCAAAGAAATTATTTTAAAAAATATCTATTTGAACCCTGTCGTTTTTGCTTAAACGCTCAAATATTCTATTATTTAGTTATAAATGATTCATATTGTTGTTAAATTGTTGATGAATATTAATAGTATCAGGGTATTTGAAAATTCCCGAGACTAAAATGGAGAATTAAAATGAAATCATCGCAAAAGTTTTTCAAGGACCAAAATGGTATTTTAGTTTCGATCTTCCTAAAAAAAATTAGAATTTATGAAGAATAAGAACAAATTACATCCAATCACTCACCTTCATAATGTTTTGCCTACAAATAAAGTTTTAAAGTTAGGGTTTTTGATTTCATGTCATTGTCACTATGATTCTCAAAATCTATCATTAACCTAACAATATCTTGGGGTGAAGTAATTACAATTAATCAAAATGATTTTTTATTGACTTTAATCACTTTTGTTTTATTTTTGGTTTAAAATGCTAAATCTTCATTTGTTGAGTTCTAATCCCAATTATGATTCTAATTGTAATGATCTTTGAGATTGTACATGTTTGATTCGTGTCTTTTGGCTTCAATCTTTTTTTAACCTTATTATATGCCGAGTTGGGCTTTTAATTATAAAGACAAGGAAAACGAAAAAATGATCAAGTTTCGAGTACTGTCTCTTCTTTTAGTTCAACATCATGGGTAGTGGAGAGATTCGAATTTCTGACCTTTTAAAAGAAGATAAACGTTTAAACTAGTCGAGCCATACTCGGTTAACAAGTATTGATACTATCTATCAACTTATATAATTGCTTGACATTATTTGTCAAAGTGTATATACATTTGAACATCGTGCATTTCCAAAAATTAAGAGTTGAGAGAGACAAAGATAGTATTAAGCCGAGGAGAATAGGGAAAGCTTAAGGTTTCCTTTTCTGGGTTTCCTCTCAAAGTTTTAAAACACGTCTACTGGGAAGAGGTTTACACACCCTTATAAACAATGCTTCATTTACCTCTTCAATCGACGTGGGATCTCACAAAAACCTTTTGGTAAAAAAAAAAAAAGAAAGTAAAACCCATGAATCAAGAAAGTACGTGAAAAAAAAGACTTGAACGTCGAGAATTTTTCCGAACCAGAAAGAAGCCCTTTGGAGAAAAGGTAGGGTACCTACAAAGAAAGGGTATCCATCTACGTATGAACCCCACTATAGATTGCTTTATAAACTAATAAATGTTTTGGTTTTAGTTTGTGAAGTAGTTAGAGGTTTGGGCAATGAAAGCTCCATTGAAAAGGGAAAAAGAAGAGGAAAAAGGGTGTCTTTAGGTGTGATTTGGTAGAGATAAGAAAATTCAAAGTGGGTTTGGATTGGATTCCAGTTAAGAGAACCACTTTCTTTTTTGTTTAGTACTCTTTTGATTTCATTATTTTGGACTTGGGAGTCCAAATGTCCCCACACACAACAGCTGGTTTCAGGTAAGAATCAATTTTCCCCACAACTTACGCCATTTAACTTACCATAATATCATCCAATCAAAGCTTCTCCAGCTATACTTGAAAGCAACTCTACGAGATCTCACATCGATTGAAGAGAGGAATGAATGTCAACGAGGACGCTGGGTCCTGAAAGGGAGTGGATTGTGACATTCCACATCGATTGGAGAGAGGAACGAGTGTCAACGAGGACGATGAGTCCCAAAAGAGGAGGATGGATTGTGAGATCCCACATCGATTGAGAGAGGAACGAATGCCAGTGAGGACACTGGGTCTCGAAGGGTGGATTGTGAGATCTCACATCAGCATTTATTCTTTATAAGGGTGTGGGAACTTCTCCCTAGTAGACACGTTTTAAAAACTGAGAGGAAGCTCAACGAGGACAACATCTACTAGCGGTAGGCTTAACCTGTTACAAACTCGTTCAAAATAGCTTCTTTCAATCCCCCTCATTTATCGGGGTACCCTGCAAACAAGTCCCACAACAAGGCCAGAAACAGAGGAAATAATATCAGTCAGAGAGAGAGAGATTTGTGAGAGAAGAACAATGATAAGATTTATGATTTATGAGTAATGGTAATACACAGGGGGGTTGGATTGAGATATCAGAACTTTTCAGTCTTTTCCAACACTACTTTTACAAATGGCTATAAAGAGAAAAGCATTCAAATGTGGTCTGATAAAAACTTGAGGCCACCATCAGCTTTGCTGCTGCTGCTGCAATTAGTTCTTGCAATTAGTTCTTGAAGAGCTCTCCAAAAGAATGAGTGGCTGATACATAATGTTCAGAAACAACAAAAAAATGCAACTGGAATCCCTCTCTATGTACACAAAGCCTCACTCGCCGTGGGGGGGCCGCCATGGATTTCACCAGTTCTTTCATTCTTTTACAATTCACTTTTCATCTCACCTGCACCCATAATACCTTCAAATTCAGTTACAAGATTTTCGATCGAATCAAACCCGAAAAGCTAAAAGTTCTATGGCTATCTTACCATGAGGATTCTGCAGCTGGGTTTGTACATAACCCATCTGAACTACACTGTGGAGTTCATCCTCCCAAAACTTGGAAATCTGATAGCAATTCAGAGATGATTTTTAGACTATGCTATGCAAAGATATTAGTTTCAGTACATTTGAGGAAACAGATTAGCAATTTACTTGGATTCCATTCCCCATTTTGTGGTATCCACCCTGCGTTTGATCACTATGAAGAGGAGGAATGTTCATAGATTGATACTCATATGCAAAAGTGGGCACAGACGAATCAATAGGGTAAATCGTATGCGGTAACGAACTCGAACCTTTGAAGATCTGAGATATGTTATCACACAAAATTAGTCATAACCCAGAAGTGTTTCACTAAGTTATCCACTAAAAAATGGTTTGTTTTTCACTTACATCCTTTGGCAAAAGAGTTTCCATGTTAAAATCCATCCTTGGATTGACAGTAGCCAATTTCATTGAAAGAAACTGCAGAAATTCTAACACAACTCAGAAAACTATAGATATGAACATAAAGAACTATGGCAGATCGTTTGAATATTTGATGATTACCTCAACTTGGTGCTGCAAAGATTGAACATAGTTTATAATTTCATCAAGCATCACTGCCTTCCCAGTTATCTGTAAGTGAAAAAACAACTCGACTTTAGAACTTGATTTTCATACCAATGATCTCATGTTTAAGAATTTTAAGATCCAAGTACCTTATTGCAACCGGGGACGAGATCTTGAAGAAACTTCATCCGTTTGCTGATTTTCTCTCGTCGGATCTGCACGAACGACAACGAAAACAGGAATTGTGAGCATTCGAATCAAACTCGAGTGCGAAACAAGTTATATACAATGAGTGCTTTGGCTCTCACTCTTTCAGCTAAACTATGGCTATCTGTAGCTTGACCCCTTTTAGCTCTAACATGGATATAATCCTTTGGAGGCTCTGGAGGCTTTGAATTATCATTGTTTTGTTTCTGAGTTGCATCTTTTGCCTCAGCCTTCCCCTTTGCAGCATCCATCTCTGGTTTGATTTTCTTGCCATTTGGTTCATGATTCTCCCCTGCAGCCTGAAACAACAACTTTTAGTGCCATTTTTTTCCATTGAGTTCATCAGCAGATACAGAATTTTCAAAGGAAATGCAAAATTTGTAAACATATACCTTCACATTCTTTGCTTCACCAGTATGAGCTGATTTCCTTTTCCTAGTGTTAACTTTGAATCCTAATTCCCCAGCTGTAATCTGCTCCGAAACCGACGATCCCTCCCGCGAATCGTCATTTTCGGGGGTCGAAGACCTCGAAAACCTGTTCATAACTTTCTTGTTAGCCATAGAATTTCCCTTCTGAACTCCCATTTGAGATCCAATTCCACTAACATTGAAGGATTTGTTACTTGAAACCCTAGAAAGCTTGCCAGATTCCACACCAGCTCCAGCCATTGACTTGTTGCTCAATTCTTGAGTTTCATTAGAACACAATTGCCCATTCACTGCAAGATTCTTGTTCCCAAAGCAAGAAAATCTCGCAACCCTTTCAGCTAAACCTGGATCAGCCGAAAATGGAGCTAGATTTTGATGGTGACCGACAGATAAATTTCCCTTCATCGGAGGGGAATTCAAAGGCGTATTGTAACAAGAAGTATTGGTACTATTATTGTTCGTCCCACCAATGTAAGAATGAGGCGAAATCTCACCAGAACTACAAATACTTCCAAGCCTTCCGATCAATTCTCGCATCATCAAGTTGTCGCCGCCGCCACTACCACCGCCGATTACAGCCCCAGCGTGTGAATTCGCCGGAGAAGACACAATCGAACTCAAAGTAGACTCAAAGAGATCGCTCTGATCCATCGAATTTTCCCAATTGGAATTGAACAACACACTCGAATCCATCCCATAAAAACTGCTTCCATCGTTCATGAAGAACTCCTTCTCCATATCGACGAAGAATCACACAAATTTCCGATGAAGAACTGTGCCAAAACCAAAAAATCAACAGAAAACAGAACAAAAAAAAACCCTACCCAGAATCTTTCTCTGCAAGAAAACAAGAACAACAATGGCGAGGAGAGATTTTTGAGATAAAGAAGCAACAACAATGAAATGATTTCTTCGTTAGTTCGTGGGCTCAAAATGAAGAGCAGATTAAAAAGAGAAGAGGAGAGAGAGAGAGGAGAGAGAAAGCAAATACAGAGAGAAATGGAGTGAGAAATGTGGGGAAGTGGAAGGGAAGCAACATAGATAATAAAGGGAAGGAGATGTCTCTTTGACTTTTTTTCTCCCTTTTTTTAAAAAATTAAAAATTATATTAAATAATATATATTTAAATATTGAAATTTTAATTCAAAATTCCATAATAATTAATATAATAATGTCACATAATTAATTTATTCAGTTAACTCCTATATTTTTAATTAAAAACCATCACAGGTTTGAATTCTCGAGCCTCACATAGGTTGAACTATAAAAAAAGATGGTTCATGTAACGTCTCATCCCCAGAATTTAAATCATGATTTATAATTTAAATTTGGCATCTGATGGCTCCGACATTCCCGTGCATTTTATATTTTTAGTACCGTTATTATTCGGATATAATTTGTAACGACCCAGATCCACCGGTAGCAGATATTGTCCTCTTTGGGCTTTCCCTTTCGAGCTTCCCTTCAACGCGTTTGCTAGAGGAAAGTTTCCACACTCTTATAAAGGGTCTTTTGTTCTCCTCTCCAATCAATAATGTGAGACATCACTATCCACCCCGGGGCCAGCGTCCTCACTGGCACTCATTCTTTTCTTCAATCGATGTGGGACCGCCACCAAATCCACTCCCTTTAGAGCCCAGCATCCTTACTGACACACCGCCTCGTGTCTACCCCATTTGGGGAACAACGAGAAGCCTGACACATCGTCTGGTACTCCCACATTATTCGTTGGAGAGAAGAACAAAAGACCATTTATAAGGGTGTGGAAACCTTTCTCTTTAGACGCGTTTTAAACCCTTGAGGGGAAAGCCCGAAAAGGAAGGCCCAAAAAGGACAATATCTACTAGTGGTGAACCTTGTCGTTACAAAATCTCAGTTTATTAATGTACTGTTTTTTTTTTTACTCGAATGTCTCGTGCTGAAATATTATGAAAGTGGAGAGAGAAAAGCGAAATATTCCTTATAACGGTGTGAAAACCTTTTCTGTAAGAGCCCAAGCCCACTACCAGCGTTCTCTTTCGACTTTTCCTTTCGGGTTTTCTCTAAAAGTTTTAAAACGCGTCTACTAGTGAGAGGTATCTACACTCTTATAAAGAATGTTTCGTTCTCGTCTCCAACCGACGTGGGAGCTCACATTATCTCTTCCATAAAGATAAAGATTCGATTTCTCGTCCCCACATTTATAACGGTCTCGAGTGGCCTAGGTTAGAATTTCATATTTAAAAAAATAGGATACGAGATCAAATATGATTTCAAATCTTATAATTATAAAAGAAAAGAATTAATTCGAAACCTAATTTTGATTTCAAATCTATTAGAATCAAATAGGAACCCAAATTGGACCCCTAACAAGTGGGTAAGGGGTTGGGTGAGGACTTGTTCGGTATAATTTATTTATTTATTTATTATTATTATTTTAAAAAAGAGTTTAATAACTAACCTTTTTAAATTATTATTTTTTATAGGGAAGATTTTGAACCAATAATCCCTTAATAAAATAGACATATGTCTATTTAATAATTTAAAAGTAAGGTGTGAATTAATTAAAAAATCAAACAATATATGCATTTTTTATTTTAATAATCTTAAATATATTTATGTCAAAAGAAAAAAAAAAAGATAATTAATCACATGAATTATAAATAAGTCTATTTTAGATATTAAAATTCATAATATTTTTTATTTTTTTATTTTTTTTAACTAATAAAAAATAAAATAAACCATGAAATTGCATCATTTTCACTAAATAATTTATTTAAAAGTAAAAAAAAAAAAAAAAAAACACACACATATTTTTTAAATTAAAAAGTTAGTAAAAAAATAATTATATTTAATTTAAATATAAAACCTAGAATTAATAAATAAAATGGAAGTAATGGAAAGTGGAAATTTGGATGCATTTCATTTGAATTTGAATTTGCATTTGCATGACACGCGCCTTCAACGATAGGGCAGTAATGTCAAAATCCGACCAACTCCACCTCCCATTCTCTCTCTACAATTTTTTTAAAAAATATTTTCATTTTTTTCTCAATTTTTAACTAATCTCGAGATCCCAAACAGTGTATGTCGGCAACCCATAATTAAATTAATAAATACAATTTTAAATAATAAAAATTCAATTACAAAATTTATATTTAAATTCTTAATATATATATTAATTAAGAGAATAAAAGTTTAATTTTTTTTATTTTTAAAATGTTCATTTTTTTAAAAAAATTTAAATTAACAATAGTAAATCTCTATTTTATTTAAAATATTAATAAAAATAAATAATTTATTAAATACAAAATTAAAAATTTAGAAACCTACTCTAAAAAAATTAAGAATTTAAGATATATTTTTTAAAGTTCATTATCGTTTTTCGGTTTAATTAAATATCTCAGTTGAGTTGATTTTGGTTGTTTAGATGCCGTGTGGGAGGAATATACCTAACTTCTTAGCCGGAATCTCTTGAAATTTGCGGCCATTTCTCTTTCTAGGTTTTTATTAGTTCAATAAACGAGTGAGATTCGAACTTCTGATTGATATATTTTGACGGGTAAAATTATTTTTAATTTAGAATTAAAGGGGAGGTTTAAAAAAGTTCGGTAACCTTATAATTTAAATAAATAATAATAATAATAATTTTAGAGAGAGAAAAGGTTGCCGTATGGATTGTAACGTGAGGTTCAATCATTAATAAGCGTTTGGAGATTACCATTTTGACCCGGACAAAACCGGTGGGCATAATTTGCGACGTGTCAGGTTGTAATTGGTTTAGAGGCACGATTAACAAGGCGGAATAAAAATTAAATAATACAAATGTGTCAGTGATTTATTTAATAATTATTATAATTTGACAAATTGCAGAGTTTTTTATTAGTTAATTTATTGGGAATTATTGGGAGAATTATAATTAAAATTAGGTTAAAAAAGATGCAAAAGGAGAATCATTGAATGGCAGGTTGGCAGTTGATTATAATCATTGGTTCATTTATTTATCTTTTTGTTTTTTTTAAAAAAAATTTTAATATAAATTTTCTAATTGGAAAATAAAAAAATAAAAAAATAAAAAATAAAGGAGAGAGTTACAGTCTACCTATAGCATGTTTGTCAAAATAACCCTTTTGTTAACATTATTTTTAATAACTATTCATATTATAGAGTTGATTTTTTAATAATTGATTCTTTTATGAGATTAAAATTAAATTTTTTTTTATTTGTAATATAGCATGAGTTGAAATTAAATATTTTTATTTTATGGCAACATTGACCAATCTGACATATCCCGACGACGTAGGTCGAGTTAGTTTTATTTTCTTAAACCTAATATGAGCCTTCGGTATATTTTTGTATAAAGCTGACTTGATTACATCCCTATTCATGGAAGGGAAAGAAGCTGAAATGACTTATTTTGGTACGAGAGAATAATCTTTACTATAAAAAAGTGAGTAAGTAACGTGTTCATGTCAAAGAGGAATGCTAAGGTCATCATGTGCCAAATTCTAGGTATGAATTGTTACAAATGGTATTAGAGCGGTATCTCTCCTAATAAAATGTAGTTTGGGGACGAACTGAGGTGGAAGCTAGTAGAATGAGCGATACATGAATAAACCGAAACCAAACCCAAATGAGAGTGATCCTAAAAATAAGATGACTAAGAAAAGACTAACATAATTGAAAGTAATTACGTATACCAACAAGTTTAAAAAATTGAAAATCAGTATTTATACTAACAAGATGTACCTTCCTTTTCGATGATTCAATACAGGAACTCCATGTAACTATTTGTCGTACGCGATGCAGAAGAGTATCGGGGCCCATCAAGTGTTAAATCTAAATTCTGAATCTTAAGCAAGAATCGTTGTATCTAGATTTCAAATCTTGGGCATAACGCATTATGCAACAGATAAGAGTATCATTGATCATTTCTAAACAACACTAAGGAGTATCACTGAAATGCCAAACTTGTTCTTGAAATTCCTCTTAGCATAACACTCACAGGACCTATATACTTGCATATTTCTAAATTAACCAAATACCATATCCTCACCTCATTTCATAACGTTCCCTTCGGTTAATGGATGGACGGCATTTGTCAGCAGCAGATTACTGGGTACAAATACGTCACCTGAACTCGTGTATTAAGCAATCAAGTTCATCCTCAAATGCCTGCATGCCTCAGATGAACATTAGTTGAATAGCTTAAATAGAAACTGGGAAAATTTAGGGATAATGGAGAGTCTATCTGCGAGATTTGTGACGTTTACGTGAGTGATCATCTCTATCATTAGAATCCCTTCTGCGAGATCGTTCCTTGTCCGATGAGCGCCTCTGATAACGATCTTCCTTCTCAGAAGAGCTCCTCTGATAATAATCTTCCTTGTCGTTTGAACCCCTTCTAGATTCATGTTTCATCTTCTCGTAGTTCCCCTTATGAGAGTGCCCTCCTCTGTAGCCATCAGGGCTCCTCGTATGAGACCAATCATCTCCATCTGTAGAACTACTTCGACTATGTCCATCCTTCTCCACGGAATCTTTCACACTGGAGCCTTCTTCCCTACGTACCGAATCTGTTTCTCTTCTCGGAGGAGAAGGTACCTAAAGTAGAACGAACAAGGAACCAACAAAAAATCAATTACGTCCGGTGTCGCAGTATCCCGACCTCAGTTTAAGTCAAGTGATCGTTCATTGCATTACAAAATATCAAGTACAAGAGCAGAAGATTGGCACCGTGAACGGACATTAAGGTTCTTCCATTTGTACGAAAATCGAAGTTCATGAAGCTTATGTGTTCCTTGTTTTAACAGTTACCTGAAACCTGGACATGTATCTTCCTTCAGGTGGAGGAGTAATGCCAAGCCTTTTCAAATCATCATGAGGTATCGGACGTCTGCACAAAAGGGTATGTGATAGAGACGTTGAGTCAGCGGATGACGTAAATGCACACGAAAAGAATGACTAATGAAGAATCTGATTAAGAAAATCCTGATCAAACCCTCCCTGCCCTGATTAAGCAAATAAAGTCACCAGAAGTAAAAGAAAGCCACCTAATGATTGAAGTTCTTTGCTATAACTATAAAATTGGAAAATAACGGGAGTTTACATATTATCGATTGGGCTCAGACATATTATCATTATACGTCTCTTATAACTTTATTACTCAAGGTGCAAAACACTTTTTTGAAGCAAAATCAAGGATAAAATAGTGAGGAATCACATCATCAAGAACAGTCATTCAACAGGAAAGAGAATATTCCAGGGACAGTCGTAGAACATGAGATGAAAGCCTACAACCATGCTGAGTCCAAGTTCAAGGTGTATAATGACCGATCAAGTAACGACGTGTTGGGAGAAGACAAGTATAACAGAAGTTCAGACCATACCATGTTTATATGCCAACAAAACATTATTTCGCATTACATGAGAATCGAGGAAGCAGAACTAAAATCCATGCAAAAGAAAGTAGAGAGTATATATAATCAGGGAAGCAAAGCATACAAGGGAGCTCGAAAAGGTCTTTCTCTTCCTCCAAATCGAAGTTGTCCAGATTCCTTCTTACCCCCAAGTCCCCCTCCTATTACAATTAGCACAAATACAATCAAATAGACTTAAGTAAGGGGTAATATTTTGGGAAACTATAGAACTTTTATTTACCTAATCTCCGTGGAATCCATCCGGGCATTAGCTGTTGTCGATTGTAGTCAACTATAATTTCGCAATCATCTATCATTGAATGATGAGCATCCTGATGAACAAAGTTAATTAATAGCAGACATCAATATCATTTGCCACCAAAACAAACTTATTATTGTATTTCTCAAGAAAAAAATGAAATAACTGGAGGCTTTTTTTTTTCCATGAACGATAAGACCGAGAACTTCTATGAATGAATGATAAGAGATACAGGAAAGGTTGGACAAACAACAAGAACCAATAGTTCATTAAGAAAAAACCCAGTGATCTTTGAAGAAAATGCAATATAACATCACATCCCACAAATTTGATTGCTATTAGGCACCACACAGCAAATAAAATGAATAAAAATATAAACCAAAAACAAGAACACAAGGATAACTCAGGTGAAATTAAAGGACTCGAGAAGTTGTACCACCTTATATGCATGTCGCATCTCTTTTTCAGTTTCATATTCAACAAAAGCATAACCACGTGAAGAACCAGTTACTGCAAAACATCATGCACATTTCATGAGAAACATTATTGTCTCTTCCATCCGTTGAACATATGAACAGAGTAATCTGTTAAATGTAAAAAATGTTTAAAGTATAAATATCCCGAATATTGGAAATGTGACCAATTTTTGGGCACCAAATCACTAATCAGGATACCCTCTAAACCAAATAAAAGATCAAATTCAGAACTAGATAAGAAAGTCACCAATGTGTCTGACTAAGCGTAGGTTCTTAATCCGACCATACTTGCTCATAGCCTGAAAGATGAAATTCATTTTTTTTTCAGCCGATGAGATGAAGAAAGGGAAACAAAAAGAAAAGCAGTAAATTATAGATGAAATATCAAATGCAACAGTGCAAGTAATTAAAATAGGAAAGCAAGCTTTTGAGAATCCAGAGATCGAGAAAAATTCTAATACGCTCAATTCCTTTCTAGTCAGTTTTTTTAAAGAAAGGCTACACATCATGAGCAAAACAGTCTGAATGGATGCTCTCTCCTCAGTCCTCTTGAGTAATCTAATCTTTACCGTTAGAGGAAATAGCTGTTAAAGCTTAGTTTGTGTTAAGCTTCAAACAGTTTAACAGCGTAAATCCACCACTAACAAATATTGTCCGCTTTGGTCCCATTACATATCACCGTCAGCTTCACGTTTTAAAACACGTCTACTAGGGAGAGGTTTCAATACCCTTATAAGGAATACTTCGTTCCCCTCTCCAACCAATGTGGGATCTCACATTTTTCCAACCTAGATAAGGCTTTTTTATGCCCTTTTTTTTATGTTGGGGGTGCTGGATACGGGATCCTCTAGAAAGGCTTCGATCTTGAAGTTTAAGATGTAGCTTAACTATTTGAAGCCAAAACCCTACGTTGCACAAAGTTAGTACTATTTAAACTCTAGATAGGACCTTCATAGTTATGGTGGCCATTCACAGGGACTTCGGTCACTGACTGTCCAGTCATTAGGTAATCACCAGCAACCCTAAAATGTTCCAACCAACAAATTCTGTAAGGGAAAAATTGCTCTATCGGGGCTACTAAGGTCTCTTCACCATCAAAATTTATCAAGAACATAAAATCCTTCAACACCCTCCTTCCTTTATACTTTAATCTCCTCTCCACCCACGATTCGAATTATAACTAATTCATTTCAACTCATCAGAATCAGTCAATAACAAGCAATTAGAGAGGTCAATAGACAATACCCTACGAAGATTATCTTCGGTAGTCAGATGAGAAAGGCGACCAACGAAGAGGGTGCAATAAGGGTCACCGAAGACCTTGGGATCGCGAAGGGGATCATCTGCCGAAACCAGACCCAACAGTCGATTAGAATAAGCTTAAGAACATCAACAAATACAAACTGGCGCTGAAAATTAGAGGCAAGAGACTTACAGAGGCCAGCAGAGGAACATAGCAATGCTCGGTAGACGGCATTGTCGTGGGGAAGAATATCGGTGCCGTCGATGCTGCCGGCTTGAATTGGATGGTAATTCTCGGCGTAGAAGACCTTGCTTACGTTGCTCCCGCTCATGGCGCGCCAAGCCCACTCGTCGTCTTACTCCCCCTCGTTTCAACCGAGATTTTTACCTACAGAGTAGAGAGACAATTGACCAACACTCCAACGAGTTTGTTTGGAGTTGTAATCAAGTCCAAAAAAATGTGCTTTTAAAACAATTTTTTTTTTTCAGTTAGTGTATGATTCCCATTTTTAACTTAAAAATATGAATGGTTTGACGGAAAATTGGAAAGGAGTGTGGAAATCTCTATCTAGTAGACACGTTTTAAGAATTTTGAGGGGAAGCCTGGAATAGGACAATATTTGCCAGTGGTGGGCTTGAGGCAATACAAATGGTATCCAAAGCCATACATCGGGGTTGAGCCTTGAAGGTGGTGGACTGTGGGGCATCCCACATCGATTGGGGAAAGAAACAAGAGGCTGAGCCCCGATGAGTGAATTTGGGAGGTCCCACATCGATTGGATAAGGAACGAGAGGCTGAGCCCCAAAGGGTGGTGGCTTCGGGAGGTCCCACATCGATTGGAGAAGTGAACGAGAGGCTCAGCCCCAAAGGATGGTAGATTTAGGGATCCCAAATCAATCGGAGAAGGGAACAAGTGCATTGTTTATAAAGGTGTATAAACCTGTCTACTAATAGAGGCGTTCTAAAAACTTCAAAAGAGAAGCCTATATAAAGAAATAATGATATCGAAAATACTCTTTCTTCCATTTTCCGAGTTTCATTTAAATTTATAACATAGAGTTCGTTACATATATCATAAAATTAATTTTTCTTTAGAAATCCTAAAGAACATTCTCAAATCACCTAAAATCTCCACAAGCATGTCCTTCCAGCTTGCTGCAGTACTGATATCAGAGATGGTGCCAACAGCTCCAAAGAACATTTGATGGTTTGTGCATGAACCAACTCATCTTACTTTGTTAGCAAACGAAGGCCTGCTTCTAAATCATTCATTGTAATACTACACAGTTCTTCCGTATCTATACACTCAAAACTCAGCCTGCCATCCAAATTCTCTTTGGCGTTAACGAGCATTGGATCGATCAAACCACCGTTCATCTCCTTACGCTGCTTTTCTTGCGTTTCTCTCTCGATCAGCTCTGAAATGGCTTCTACGGTGCACGTAGGATGCAACTTAAAGCCATATAACAAGCTATCCTCTGTTTGGTTATCCATCTTGATATGGAGGATCTTTGCTAATTCTTCTGAATTGAAGTCATTGAAGTAGAAAAATTTGGTTACTCGTCGATGAAATCCTTCGTTTGAAGATATTACGCGCTGCATTGGTTCGCAGTAACCAGCGAATATGACTACGATTTTCCCACTGTCCATGACAGACATGATCTCTTCCAGAGCTTCCAAACCGTAATCCTTATCGTCGGATTTCTGCATTGGTATCAGTCGGTAGGCTTCATCGACGAAAAGTATTCCGCCCTCTGCTTCTTTGATCTGAAAGTCAGAGGTGGCATCCATACATAAAGCTATGTTCCTAATAATTTACAAAAGAGAGGCCAAAAGGCACGCATGGTGTACCTTCTTCCTGGTTTTCGGACCGGTGTGACCAACGAATTCGCCAACCAAATCCGTTCTCTGTACTTCTGTTACCTTATCGGTTGGTAGGATGCCAACCATGTGAAGCAATTTTCCGAGTATTCGAGCTACCATAGTCTTACCTTTCAAAAATAATAACAACAATAAGTGAACCATAATGGTAAATACAAGTTTTGTTAGCTAGCACGAAATAGCTAAGCGACCATATATGACCGAGCATCTAAAAAGAACGCATGCTTTATGATATAAAAGTTCCAGATATTCACAATCCCCAAAATCATATAAATATAGACTCAGATATTCACAATACCCAACCTCATATATGTAGCTTGTTGGTTGAAGAGGGGAACGAAACATTTCTTATAAGGGTGTGAAAATCTCTTCCTAGTAGACGGGTTTTGAAAACGTGAGGCTGACGGCGATACGTAACAGGCCAAAGCGGACAATATCTGCTAGCGGTAGACTTGGGCTGTTACAATATAAGTTAAGCTCCGTTTGGTAGGGTTAAAATTAAATTCTTAGTTAAATTCCAAAAACCAAGTTACAATATAAGTTAAGCTCCGTTTGGTAGGGTTAAAATTAAATTCTTAGTTAAATTCCAAAAACAAAAACTACTTTTTCTAGCTTTCAAAACTTGGCTTGAATTTTGAGAACATTCGTAAAAAGTATATAACAAAACAAAGAAACTCATGGGTCGTAGTAGCATTTACCAGCTTAATCTTCAAAAATAAGAACTCAAACCGATATCAACCGGGGTCATAGTAGGCCATAGTAACTAGTATTACGTATGCTAATGAAAATCCATACGTAAACAGATATATTTATCGGAATTCTTGAGGGACGTCGGATCATTTTTAGAAAATAGGAACAAAATAGCTATAGCAAACTCTGCCTCCTATATGTACTTACCTGTCCCAGGATTGCCAAGAAATGCCATATGAGGTGACTTCCTGATGCCAACTTTGAGGCCAAGGGCCCTGCGTCTCTCATCTAAAAGAATTCCCTTAGCCCATTTCTGGAGTTGGATCTTAAGCTCGTGCAAACCCACGATTTTCGAGAGCTCATTGTCGAGTTCCATCATCTTTGCTTTAGTTTCACTGCATGCTTCAATTGCTTTTCGCTTTTTCTGCTCTTCTAAATGCTGGTTCAACAATTCCCTCAACTTTTTACTGCACGAGCCCTGTGACAGATGGCTTAGGGGAGTCATACCCTCCTGCATTTAAGAGACAAGCCTATTTAGTACCATTTTCTATGTAGTATAATGGAGAACAGAAAATATTGCAAGCAAAATATTGAAGGATTACGTCATCTTTCGCACTACAATCGGCGTTATATTCAAGCAATGTCTCGACAGTGGCGCAGTCTTCGGATTGGAGTGAATACCAGACGGCAAGGTGCAATGGTGTCATCCCATTCTGCATAAAGGAATACACAAAAGCAGACATTTCAACCATAAAATCACCATGAGTCATGTATTTCATTGCAGAATCAATGAAGAAGAGATAACTAAAAGGCAATATATAGCACATTTGCTTTGGCTTCAACAAAAGCGCCGTGAGCGAGTAGCGCCCGTGCTGCATCATTGCACCCATGCTTTGCTGCCATATGCAATGGGGTCTCTCCATACTGCAGAGAGGAGAATATTAGCTCTACCTAATAATTGAGCACTACAGTTCAATTTCACGAAAAACACTACCGCGATAAAGAATATATACACCTACCATGTTTTTGGCTTCGAACTCGACCTTTTCTGGACCTTGCCAGACAAGAAGAAATTTTACAATCTCTGCCCTGTTATAGCCTGCAGACACATGGAGGGGTGTCTGTCCCATCTGAAGTAGGCATTGAAATCCATAAGCTTCACTCCGAAGGTAATATAAATAACAAGATAAATTGGTTCTACATTTTGAATCATTGTTGTAACAGCCCAAGCCCACCGCTAACAGATATTGTCCTTTTTGGGCTTTCCCTTCAGGGCGTCCCCTCAACGTTTTAAAACGCGTCTGCTAGGGAGAGGTTTCCACACCCTTATAAAAAATGCTTTGTTTCCCTCTCCAACCGATGTGGGATCTTACAATCTATCTCCCTTCGGGGTCCATCGTCCTCACTGGCACTTGTTCCCCTCTCTAATCGATGTGGGGCCCCCAATCGATCCCTCTTCGGGGCACAATGTCCTCGCTGGCACACCGCTTGGTGTTCACCCCCCTTGGGGACTCAGCCTCCTTGCTTGCACTTGTTCCCCTCTCTAATCGATGTGGGGCCCCCCAATCCACCTCTCTTCAGGGCCCAATGTCCTCACTAACACACCGTATGATGTTCACCCCCCTTCGGGATTCAGCCTCCTTGCTGGTACACGGCCCAGTGTCTGACTCTGATACCATTGGTATATTGTCCTATTTGGGCTTTCCCTTCCGAGGTTCCCCTTAAGGTTTTAAAACGCGTCTACTAGGGAAAAGTCTCCACACCCTTATAAAAAATATTTCGTTCCCCTCTCCAACCAACGTGGGATCTCACATGAGCATAAGAAACAGAAACAGCATTGGATTTAATTTCAAGAAGTATATCCCACCATTTTCTTCATTGAATTACTGAGAAAAGTATGAAATGGAGACAGAGTATTGAAAATGAAAACTGAAATTCTAGTCTTAAGCCAGCAAGTATCATTAGCATTCATATTTGAAAGGAAGAATGGAGATAAATGGATGGTTAACATGGGATAGATCTAATACTAAAATCTTCAGATGTGAAACATAAATAGAGCAAAATAAGCTCCAAACACACCTGAAAAGATCCTGGATGGAAGATAATAGAAATAATGGTCAAATAAAAGTTATATACGGTGCTAAAAAGGATATACTCCAGAAATTCTTGCCCAACAATGAAATTAAATCAAGCACCAAAATAATCATACGGAGCCAGTTTCAAGCATACGAAGTCAGGAACAATGAAGAAGTCCTTTATCTCACACATATCACCAAATCAATTCAGATTCACATAAGAAAGTCACTTCCCGATGAACAAATATACAAACTTAGAAATGAAAATGATAACAAAAACTCATAAAAATGCCAAAAAGTTGTTCAAGAAAGAGAACATACAACAGGATTTCTATCATTAAGAAGACCAGGGTTCTCTTGGAGCAGCTTTTGAAGGCTAAGAATGTTCCCAGATTGAGCATAGCTATGAATAGTAGTGGGTTTGGAAGGCCTTGACCGTTGATCTTGAGGCTTCTGCATATCTTCGAATTGGGATATGGCAAGGCTAACCACACCTTCAAGGATGAAAGACAGAGGAAAATGGTAGAGGGAGAAAAGGAGATCTCAGAGAAGATGGATGAGTAGATTATATCTCCTTTCCGCCACAAAATCAAATGGCAGCAGCTAGGAAAGTCCCCAACCTACAGCCCGCTCTCTGCATCAGCAAGTTAAGTTTTCCCCTGTTCTTAATCAAGCTTTAGAAACCCTCACCCTGCTGAAGAAATTAAATATTATTCTGACACTTCAATGAAAAAACAGCTCCCACCAAATTACATAACACTTCATAGAAGAAGAAAAGGACAATCTGAACCATTACAACAATTGGCTGAAGTTCCGTTTGATATATGCCAAGTTCACATAACGTATTTGAAAATTTTATCATCCATCAACATGGTTAACATCGATACTAGGAATCACTTTTTCTATGGAATGCCGTGGAAATAATGCCATCCAAGCGCCTAAATTATCAAACGGAAACAAAGCAGCAGCCCAGATCACCAAATTACAGAAATAAAGCATTACCCACAGAAGATTTGAAAGGCATGCATACAAGAATAAATGCGATGGGATGCCTCATCAAAACCAATGGATTTGAAATAAGAGCATACTGGACTTAAAAAAACGATCAACAACAGCAATCACAACTTCTAATAATGGTATAAAAAGCAAACTCACCGACGAGTGAGGATTCTTAATTCGATATCGCAACGATCTGGCAGAAAAGTGAAAGAGGCCCCCCAGAAACAGAGATGAAACCAGAGAAAGATAGAAGAGGGAAGAAAGATATCTGGAAAAGAAGCGAAACGAGAGAGAAACGGAGGAGAAAAGAAGAAGAAATGGCGGAAAAAGGGGCGTGGATGGCGAGAAAATGAGAAGGAAAAAGGATTTGTCGGTTTCGAAGAACCCAAGTGGCGGAAATGGCAGCCAGTCGCCACTGCATTCCCACGATCCTTCGCGCCGGATTTTGCTTTTGCTTTGAAATTTGCACCTGTTTTCCATGGATTGTGTGCATTATCAACGGAAAAGTCTGCCAATTCTATGGCTGTCATTGTATGATATATATATATATATACACTAATGGAAGGACCTAATTGAAATTCTTTACCCCATTTAGGCCTCAAATTTTAGAACGCCTAGTGTAACGGTTCGACTTTTGAATTGTCAGTGTTGTCACAGATAAACCCATATTGACTATGATCGTTATAGGGAGCATCATAGTCGAACCTAGATTAACTAGAATTGTTACCGGTATTATCATAGCTGAACCTATATTGACTGTGATCATTATATGGGGTATCATAGTCGAACTTAGATTAACTAGAATTGTTACAGGTAGTATCATAACTGAACCTATATTGACTATGATCGTTATATGGTGTATCATAGTCGAACCTAGATTAACTAGAATTGTTACGGGTATTATCACAGCTGAACCTATATTGACTATGATCGTTATATGGGGTATCATAGTCGAACCTAGACTAACTAGAATTGTTACGGGTAGTATCATAGTTGAACCTATATTGACTAGGATTGTTACAGATGGTATCATATCCAAACCTAAATTGACTAAGATCATTACAAGTGGTACCATAGCTGAACCTGAATTAACTAAAATGGTTACAAGTGGTATCAGAGCCGGAACTAAATTGACTAGACTAGTTACAGGTAGTATTATAGTCGAACCTCTTCGAATGCAATGTAGTTCGATGACAACTAACGCACAAAGGTTGCATATGTTTATTCATTAATTCTTATTTTTTCGTCATTTTTGTTTTTTTTAATTAATTTAATTTAATTAATTTTCACTAAATTTGTATCACTATTATATTTTATTAGAAATTTATAACTATAATATTATATATATTCTAAAAAATTAAATTCATTATATTTATTGTAAGAAAATAAAAAACCTAATTTTCACAAGGGAACAAAATTCGGTAGTGCAAGTTTAGAGATATGAAAAATAAATTAAAATAAATAAATAAATAAATAAAGTGATTTTTTATTTTAAAATAGAAAATCAAAATAACAATAAGAAAACAAAACCCCGTAGGAACTCCTTCGACTCTCCCCAGTCTGCAAGAGGTTTTAGATTGTAGTTTCTGATCCCCAAACGCGGCAACTGGTTCACCGACTCGCCGGAGAAGATGACGACGAAGATAGCGCCGGGAGTCGGAGCTAATCTGCTCGGCCAGCACGCCCCCGAGAGGAACCAAGACGCCACTGCCTATGTCGGCAATCTAGATCCCCAGGTCCTTTGTTCTCTTCCTCCCTGCTTTTTTCAACTAATCAATCTTCAAATCCCCTCCTCTAGGGTTTCTATGTTCATTTAATTTTGTTTTTGTTATACTATTTTTCTGTTTTTTGTGTTTCTTGTAGGTTTCTGAGGAGTTGCTTTGGGAGCTGTTTGTTCAAGCCGGCCCAGTTGGTGCGTTCTTTCGTTTCTCTCGTTTTGTGAAGTCTTTGGAATTTATGGAAACTCTGTTTGAGCTGTCTTTTTCCCTTCTTGGTTTGAGCATTTCCTTGAAAAAAATTGTGTCCACTTGTTATTTTGCAGTTAATGTGTACGTTCCGAAGGATAGAGTTACTAACTTGCATCAAGGATATGGATTCATTGAGTTTCGCAGTGAGGAAGATGCAGATTACGTAAGTAACGCTGGGGCTCTTGCGCTTTTTTATCCTTCTAGTTATGTGTTTATTTTGATTTTCCATTCTTAATGCTTTTGCAGGCAATTAAGGTTTTGAATATGATTAAGCTCTACGGGAAGCCAATTCGTGTAAACAAGGTGAGTAGGGGATTTACTCTTTCAACTGTGCTAGGATGCGTTTTGATATACTGCTCAGCAACGGAAGATTGTATTTTATGTTCTTATGAAAATGGATATCTTACCTTTGTTATGTGTGCATTGCATATTTCCAGGCATCTCAAGACAAGAAGAGTTTGGATGTGGGAGCGAATCTCTTCATAGGAAACCTCGACCCCGTGAGTAGTTATTTTATCATGTTTATATCTGGAAGACTTGCAAGCTAATGATTTAAAGAAGGTAACTAAACCTTGATGTTTGTTTCAGGATGTCGATGAAAAGCTCCTCTATGATACTTTCAGTGCTTTTGGGGTCATTGTGACAAATCCTAAGGTTATAACTTTTCCTATAAACCTCATCACTCATTTATGTTTTGTTTATCTTAGGAGATTAGGGCTCATTTTCAAGTAAACTAGTTACTTTCTAAGGAAGTAATATTATTACAACTTAATGAAGTGAAGTCCTTTCATGGAAGTATTAAACCTTCACATTGCCTTTTAGTATATTTCACATGTATACAATATCTTTGGCTGTTTATCTTTTCTGGAGCGTGTTGAACATAGTTTGTCGCTAGCCTTTATTTTCTTTATGGGGCTGCTACACCTTGGAAGTTTGTGGTTATTTTTGGCTTTTATGTATTGTTAAATCATAAATAGGAAAATTTGGTCCCTATGGTTTGGAAAAAATTATAATTTAAACTCTACGGTCTTAAAAGTTAGAAATTAGTCGTTATGGTATGATAAGACCTCATAAATAACCTCTATGGTTTGATAAAATTCTCATAAATAAGGACTATTTCTAACACTTAAGACCATGGGAACTAAATTCTAACTTGCTTTAAACCATAGAGACTAAATTTGTAATTTAACCTTTATTAATTTATTTCTTTGTGATTTTGTAATGATTATGAAGTGGATCATGAAAATTCATTCCTACAAAATATTGGCTGTTTGGCCAAAAGATTGCTCTGGATTATAAAACTGGACTCTTGAATTTCTGGTCCAATAAGAGGTCTAGGGAGTTCAACATAAGGGGAAGGGAAGCCAAGATCTTAGAAATCTTTAGCCAAGTAGACAACGCATTTATACATGTCTAAACGTTAAACTTCTAGAATTTATTTCATGGCTACTCTACATAAGATTCTGTAGTCGCTTTTGTGAATATTGAATTACTGTAGCATTGTATTTAGTTCATCCATTGTATGCCATTTCTTGATCCCCCCCCCCCCCCAAAAAAAAAAAAAAAAAAGAATGAAGAATTACAGTATTTATTCACTTTCTGGCATCTTACTTGAAGGGTGTTTTAGAAGAATACCGTTATAGCGTTATTATTATATGGGTCACTGTAATTTTACAATTTTGCGTTCTTTTGTCTTATCCTTCTTTCTCATGTATAATGCCTCTTTGGTTTAAGTAAATTGACATGTCTCCTATTTCAAGCATAATGGTGCTTGGTAGCAGCCAGTTTATGGTTTGGTTTCTTTTCTCTTTAACGAGTGTCTTTCCTAATAAAACATCACTTTAAATGTTGTCTCTTCCATTATTATTTTATTTTCGTGTATTACTTGGATTTACTTTATATTTTTTAGGATTTTTTAACTGGTTTTTCTTCCATGTGGGCTAGTACATCTTACTAGTACTTACCAGTACTATCATGTTTGTGAAAATGGGACTAGTTTTATGTCCTGGCTTTCTATTTACTATTATTCTCTTGAAGTGCTGTGTAGTTGGGTATGTTAGATTGGAAATTTGTTTGGGCTTTTAGGGGGTTAATAACATCATGGCTGTTGGGAGGCGTCTATATTTTGCTTACTGAACGTCTATCAGATCAGTTTCCTTCCATGCTTCAAGAGCAACGCAGAATTAGACTTTTGTGTGCATAAGACGCCACGCTGTTCCTTTATTTTTTTTAATTAAAGATAACTTCTTTTTGTATGCTCTATTTTTCATCTTTAGTTCTTTGTATCTTCTGTGTACTCGGCTCTTTTTGGGGATGTATCAGAACGGTTTAACATGAAAGTTCTGAGTTTTATGCACATTTGTGTTCTAACACTTCAAGTGTCTTCGTGTTTCTAACCAGATTATGAGAGATCCAGATACAGGAAATTCGCGTGGGTTTGGTTTTATTAGCTACGACTCTTTTGAAGCATCTGATGCAGCAATAGAGGTGTGTCTTTTCTTTTCTTATTGGTCGATCTCTGCATGCACGTCATTCTGTTTTGATACTATATGATGCTCATAATAAGCTTCCCTTAAATCATTGGAGCCTTCAGTGCCCTTAAATGTTAATGAAGTGAAAGAAGTGTTTTATTGCTACCTATCCTTTGTCATGCTCTCGAAAAATAAAGATCTATTTCTTCACGTCAACCAATTCATAAGGAAAACTCTGTCTCCAAATTTTATTCAAGAAAGTTGTCCAAGTCTTTTAGCCCACTCAGTGAAGTAGGTTTCCTTTTCAATTTCTGTCCCTTCACTTTCCTTCCCCCGTTCTTTGCAGCCAAGTTGTTTTCTCCCCCTTGAATCAGATTCTTCATTAACTAGAGGAAAGACCCTACTTTCCCTCTCATGAAGATGGTTTTGATGCTGAATCTGATGTTAGCTTGAGTAGTATGGAGTTGAATTTGCAATCTTTGAATAGCTATTTAAAAGATGATGTTTTTGAAGATTCTTATTAGAAAAGTTTTGCTTCTTTATTTCAAGGTGATTAAAGATAATCCTCCACCTCTCTTATTGAAGTTTGTGGTTTCAAGATGTGCTAAAGTTCTCTACTGGTTAAACATGGAAACAGTGAAAAACATTGCCCCTCTAAGCTCTTAGGTCCTGTTTTCGTGGTTTTCTTTCCACCTTCCATGAATTTTGTTTTGTTTGCTATTCTTGTGGAAAGCTCAGCTTCTTTATCAGTTGATTTCTGTCGTGGCTTCGGTTCAAGCTTTTATCTCGAAATGGTTTTGACTTTTGTTTTCTTGTTCTGTGGTTGCTGTCGTTAACAGGCAATGAATGGCCAGTATCTTTGTAATCGTCAAATAACGGTTTCTTATGCCTATAAGAAAGATACCAAGGGTGAACGACACGGCACACCTGCGGGTAAGAATTGTTTGCTGATCCGTGAACTTTATGGAATTGTTTTAGGTTATGAACAGATTTGAAACTAGTGATCTGTGGAAGGATATCATCGTCGTTGTCATTGTCGTTGCTTATTTATCTCTGGTGTGGCTTGGTCTATTTTGTAGAGAGAGTATTGGCTGCTAGCAATCCCCAGAAGAGTAGACCTCACACTTTGTTTGCAAGTGGCCCTCCGACACTTCCAAAGGTTGCACAGCCTAACGGCACGATGGGAACTCTGATGCCACCACGCCCCTTCGCTAATGGTGGCATTGCTCCCAGCCCAATTCCTGCTATACGTCCTCCACCACCGCAAGGGGTGGCTTTCCCCCCTATGCAGATGCCTGGACAACCACCAGCCTGGCAGGGTCAGCCGCAGCAACAAGGTCAAATTATGCCGGGTTCCATGATGCTACCCCCTGTTCAGCAGTTTCGGCCACCTCCCCCAAACATGCCTCCGCCACCGCCTCAGGCTCCTGGTCATTCCATGCCTATCCCTCCACCAATGGGAATGGGAGGAGGACAGCCACCTCTTTGGCGACCACCACCACCGCCAATGCAACAGCAGCAGCAGCCGGGAAGGCCCCCTATGCAAATGTCGTCGATGCCCCCACCGCCACCTCCGAATCACATTCCACCACCTCATCCATCTTCTGGCTAAGACATTATTATGCTAAGCTAGCAATGAGAATGAAGTTTTTTCTGCCTGAACATCGTGTTTATTTCTTTTTTATGATAATGTTCAGTAGGTTGTTATATTATCATTCAAATTGTAACACTTTCATCCGAGAAATTAGTAGGAAGCAATATGACATCTTTGCTACAAAATAGAGAATGTTCTCATCTTAGTTTGGGATACTTTTCAAGCTTCTAATGCACATTAGTAGAGTATCAATGGATATAGGCAAATCGAGACTCGAGTTCGTTCCCTCTTTCAAAAACTCAATCTATTAGAAAATGTTTGGCAGGAAGTTCGAGTGAACATGCGTGTGATGAATTATATGATACTGTAAATAAAATAATTAAACAAACAAGTTAATAACTAATTATTTATTTACAACTAATCACTGTTTAAATTGAAATTCATTTTCTAAACTTGTTACAAAAATACAACTTTATTTTCATAATAAACCACTATTTTTATATATAGATTTTCCAACGTAGTTTATGGGTTTTTAGTCGATACTCCGATCAAGCACCACCCTGCAACTTTCTTTCCTTTTCTTTTTTTCCCCTTTGTTTTTAGTTCCTATCATTCTCCACAGTATTTCAAGACATGTTTCCCAATTTGAATAGAAAGAATTCAACTGACACTCGAAACCAAGAAGTACAGAGAAAATAAACCTAAGAACTTATAGGACTCTACTTGTTTTCTTTTAGTTAAATTTAAAGCAGAAGTAGAGAATCAATTGCATAATCAAACGAAGTGCAAATTGATGGAGGAGTATCTCCAAACATATATTAAGAATAAAACAATGGCTAAGGTTCGAGGAAGAAAATGATATGAAGCTTAAAGAAACTGTGATATCCACAATCTAATAACAAATCAACTACAAACATTTCTGTCTACAACAATGAACATTATACATTAGTTGACAGATGCAGGAAAGCAAACAATAAGCTCGAGGAGAGGGGAAGGCATTGAATGAGGAAGGGAACTGCAAGATTGTGGGTTGGAGGTGAAATGTGAAATTTGGATATCAAATGATGCAACTAAATTTCTGATGGCTAACCATAAAAGTTTTGAACAGTGGGTCATCTCTTCTTTTATATATATTAAATAAACTATGAGCGGCAAGAATCGGTAGGTTTGCTATGCTATTGCTTTCAACAAGTGAGAGAGGACGTATCTGATGTGTTGCTGTCTTTCGGACCCGGAGAAGAAGTCGAACCTTTCATTTTGATGTCTCCAGTTGATTGTTGCTGAAGCTGATGCATCTGATGGTACTGGAAATGTTGTTGTTGCTGCTGCTGCTGCGAATGGATTTGAAGTTGCTGAAACTGTTGAGCAGTTAACAAAGTGTGCATTGCTTGACTGTTTGGGTAAAATTGTTGGCCAGCTCCATAGGAAGCAAAGTTTGTGATTGATCCACCATTTGGGATTGATTGACCAGTCAATACTTTGAAATGCTGAATTTCCTCTTTCAGTGCTTCATTTAGAGCTGTAAGAAAAGAGAGGTGCTAATAAAGTCAAGATGGGCTCCACGAGAAATTTATTGAATCTCATCAGGCCTCCTTTTTTTGATTCTAAAACATACTTTTCATTAAGGAAAAGTTTCAAAAAAGCTTCACAGAAACCACAGGATTACAAAAGCTTATCTCGTTTTCGAACATTTGAACCAATGAAGGAGAGGGATTGAAAGAAAAACGTGTTGATTACTTTCCATTTCTTCCACGAAAAGTCGTACCATTTTCACCCCAAATACTGAGGAGGATATTCCGAAGCAACAACTTTTCACATCCATGGAGCCAAAAATTATTCTGAAAGAGTGGAAGAGGACCACCAAAACCAAAGGTGAATGGAGAGAAGCAGTCAGATATGATGGCAGCGGGCCGAGGCTAAGCGAAGGGATGGCTAGGGTTCGGAGAAGAAAGGTTACCCCACACACTGCCACATTCTCTCTCTCCCTCTCTCTCTCAATAAGACACGCCATATCCTAAAATCATTCAAAAGCTATCTGATATTTCATCTAATCAACTTCTTGTTTAGTATCATCCCTTATTATGTCTCTACAAATGTTCACCTAGACCATGCTTGTACTGAACCCCCAACCCTTATTAACAACTATAAAAGCTCATATGATATAAGGAGACTTGTGGCATGTTTGAGAGTGATTACACTTTTGATTTTCATATCATATAAATTGATTTTAAAAACTAAAGCATGTTCGGGAATGATTTCAAATCACGACAAAAGCGATTTTAACCCTTTCAAAATCACTCTCAAACAAAAAAGTCTACAAATGTAAAAAATGCATACAAAATCATCTTCCAACAAGCACCTACATTTACTTAAAAAAATAAAAAACAGAGTGATCAGATAAAATTAAGAGAAGGCAAACATAGTGTGCAGTCACCTGAAAAATGAAATAAAAGATGAGGTCCTTACCATCTTGTAGGTGAACCTGCTGCTCCATTGTCTGCAACCGTAGCTTTAGTTCACTGTTCTCAGCAGTAAGACCGTTTGTGTCTCTCTGATAATAAGTAAAACACGATGTCATTACATACTGAAATACAGAGAAAATAAGATGCTGGAATTCAAATGATATGAAGAAATAGAGTGGGCATCCAAAAATATGATCAACACGATTAATTATGCGATAATCCACCTGTAAGAGGGTTAACTGAGCAGATAAAGAAGTTCCCTCTGTTTGCAGAGTCAGAACTTTCCGTTCAAGCTCAGCAATGTACCGCATCTTTCTCTCCTTTGACCTAGCAGCTGACTGTCTATTTGCCCATATCCTATGCGATACACAACATAGAGGATTATGAACAAATTTTCCGATTCTTCTTTTCATGGGAAACGGAAGGAACATAATACTTGGACATGAGAGCAAATAATCTCAAACATGAAAAGGTGTCTTGTAAACATAATACAGGGTTTGAAAAAGTCTCCAGGCACTTTGAGATAAGAGAACACACAAACATAATCCAAGTAAATGATCGAACGCCAGTTAAATTCTAAAAGCTGTCTCGTAATACACCCAAAAGACTGGGTTCCATTTTCTTAGAGTTAAAATTCATCAAAAGAAGTTTTGATAGACAAATTATTTTATGTTCATAATAAATAAGGAAATTTCATCACAAGAGAAATGAGAGAGAAAAAAGACCATACAAGGCAAAAAGTTCAATGATTTGGTTCCTACCCACTCAAATATACACATTTTTATTCATTAGAAAGCAATGTTGTACAAAATGCAGGGCCAGAGAGTTTAATCACTAGTTCAAAAGTTGCAACGACCTTTCATATACAGAGAATAGGAATAGCATCAAGTAATTAATCAGCCAGGAAAAAACCTGGAAACTAACAGTAATAGTCATAAACTCATTGATGCTAACCAAATTACTCAATGAGGCCGCCACAATGAGGGTGCCTCATTAAAACCATCAGATTTAGACTTTCAAATTTATTTTCCCCTTCATAACCGATGGATACAAAAACAAAGTACTTTTACAATTAGTCTCTCATACATCCCATGGTAAAAAGCTACTAGTCTCTTGCGGCAGGTTCCTTGAATAATTTCTCCTAAACTTGTAGTCAAATGTCTAAGTATTGACAAAAACACTCCATATTATCATACATTTCTTCAATTTTGGGTAAAGGATCCAAATTAGCTGAAATGTTGAATTGACATAAATAGCAACGATAATTCTGACCATCACATGAGCAGGCATAGTGGATAGAAAATAGTCAAAATAAAGCAACAAGGAAAACCTGCCTGTGGATATGGATATATCATTAAGAAAAACACACATTTTTTTTAATGTTAAACAAAAAATAGGAGAAGAGATCCAAAGAAGTTATACCTCTTTGCACGTTTGGGGTCAATTAGTGCAAGCTCAGCAAGCTTTGTAGCTGACGCGGATTTCTTGGAGTCAGCAGCAGAGACTTCTTCAGACCCTGAGACAAGCATCTCAGGCTTTATGGTTGACAAACCATCCATGGACTGGCTATGCTGGTGTCTTACTCTTGGCCTCTCCTTCAAGCCAACAGCAGCATCGTCTTTAGATGTTGCTGCTCCAATTTCTGACGAAGGAGTTGATCTTGCATCTACAACAGCAGCAGATGACTCGCCAACTTGCATTGCAGAGGTAGCAGAGGAAGAATTGAATTTGTCCATGTCGAGGTACATGGACAGCAAATCTTCCTCAGTGTCATCAGAAAAGGAAGGCCCATCAGCACTGCCAATGACACCTAGGTCACTGTTGAAACATATATCATCAGGAAGGGTCAGTATTTCTGAATGAGCACGTCTGTGACCAATATTTCTTGGCGGGTTATCAGGCATCCGACAAATATCATGGCTGAACCGATTAGAATTAGTGGACATTCCGTGACTGAATTGACTTGAATCAGAATTAGCACCCGAAGCCATTGGAGGAAGCGTCATTGAAGACGAGGTTGCCTCAGATTTTCCATTGAAACTGCTTCCAGTTGGAGAAAGACCTGGGTAACGACTTGATGGGGATAGAAATCCACCAGAATGGCTCTGGGGTTTGTCCTTCTCCATCAACTAAAAACACCTTTGTAAAGAAACTAAACAACACAGAAATTCCAAGTCACAAATTCGTCATCAAACAAGCAAAACTCCACGTACTAACACTGCTCTAAAATGGGTTTTCAAGAAGTCGAATCAAAAGCCCTCAAAACTAGACACGCATTACAAATAAAGTGGTGGAAATCAAAGGAACAAAACAACAACCAAGACGTAGATTGCAAGAAATCAAACTAGACATGCATTACAAATAAAGTGTTTGTTTTGGCCCTTTAATTTCGTTTCTTATCTCATTTTTAACACAATTTCAGCACAACATTATACATAAATTTCTTGGAACATAGTCATAATTTTGTTTAAGAGTTTCCATTTAAACCACAAAGAATTTGGGTTAGAAATTTGCAAACACAGATCAAAATGGTCACTTTTAAAAAATATAAGAACCAAAATGGACTTTTTTTTTAATTTTATACAAGAATCAATTGGATCGAGACTGGTATCAAAGAAGGCTATGAGGAAGCTGCCAAAGGAAAAAGGTTACAGATCCACTCAAAGCCAGAAACAATTTCTTTAACCATCCTATTGCAAAATTGAGATTGAGAATGTTATTAGCGAAGGAGCCGAAAAAAGCTTCCAAAAGCAAAATGCCACAGATCCACTCAATGACATAAACAATTCAACATGGTTCAAAGAAAATAAAAATAAATTCTGGAGCAGAAGAACTCTCCAAGAAGAAAAGAATCGTATAATGCAGCAACAATTTATATGCCCCAACGTGCAATGCAGAGTATGAACTCATTTCAATTCCCAGGATCTTCTTCCATTGACTACATATTCTTCATCCCTCAATTTCCATTCAGTCGAGTGGAATTCAAATCAACCCTCCAAAGGGGGGCAAACATTTACATGGATACTGAAAATCAATAACGAAATGAAGCATCTCCCGGTCTCAAATTCATATGATTGTGAAATATCAATTTTCAATCGAGCTTGAACTTGCAGACATTCATGAATGATCATAAGACGAAGATAGCAATAGAGAAAATACCTTGAGACCAAGAGAAGGAATAAGATCTGTGAAGAACACGAACAGAGGGAACATCCACCGTCGAGCCAGCGTCAAGGGGAGGGGGTGGGACAAGGCCGCTAGGGCTGTATCATTTTCTCTCTCTCTCTCTCTCTCTTTTTTTTTTTTTACATTAATTTTAGTAAATTATAATTTTGTAATAATTTGAAACTTTATGAATTTGAATATAGATAGCTAATTTCATAAAGAGCCAATCATCTCTCATTCATGTAATTGTTAAAATCACCAAATAAAAAAAAATTATAATATGAATAAAAAAATTTAATGTGTTTCCTTTTATATTTGTTGTTAAAAAATAATGTATAATTTGTAACCCGAACATTTTATAAAAAGTTAGGAAAACGTTAACCGTTTTGTTATAAATAGTCGAGCCTAATCTATCCTCACACCCACAAACACTTAGCTCGAGATCAGCTATGTGATGTCCTACCTTGGTTGGGAAGGAGAACAAACCACCATTTATAAGGGTGTGGAAACCTTCCCCTAGCAGACTCGTTTTAAAGTATTGAGGGGAAGCCCGAAAGGGAAAGTCCAAAGAGGACAATATCTGCTAGCAGTGGATCTGGGTCGTTACAAATGGTATCAGAGCAAGATATCGAACGATGTGCCAGCCTTCTTGCTGTTCCCGAAGAGAAGTAGACACGAGGCAGTGTGTCAGTAAGGATGCTGGCCCCAAGGGAGGTGGGTTTGGGGGCGATCCCACATTGATTGGAGGAAGGAAAGAGTGTCAACGGGGACGCTGGGCCCCGAAGTGGGGTGGATTGTGATGTCTCACATTGGTTGGGAAGGAGACCTTCCCTTAGCAGACGCATTTTAAAGCCTTGAAGGGAAGTCCGAAAGGGAAAGCCCAAATAGAACAATATCCGCTAGCGGTGGATCTGAGTCGTTACAAGCTACCACCCACCTACTTTCTTTTCCTCTCTCCTTTCCCATTCTTGCAAGTTGTTACAACATGTAGCTTTGCCAATCGCCTCACCTTACTCGTATTGACCGCCTTACACCACAATCACACGAGCTCATAGCTTGATGTTGCATATTAACTATGTTTGACTTCACAAACTTTGTGCTTATCGTGTAGTATAATGCATTGAACGCGGGAGCGAGGGTGGAGACAGTGATGGAGAGCGTTTATCCAACCGGAGAAATCTCTCTCATTCCCTCTTCCATTTCTCGACCCATTAAGATGGGTCTCAAGATCTGCGATATAAACGAACATCTCTACTAAAAATATTAAAAATATAATAAAAAATTGGCATTACTTTAGGACTAATGGGCTCACTCCTAGGCCTGAGCCCACAATTTGAAAGCAACCAAGCCACCATAGCCCGTATACCGGTCGGCAAGTGGTAGCACAGTCATCGAAGCCATGTTCGTTCGCCTTTGCCACTTACAGCTGCCCGCTTCAGGTACGCTCCATTTCTTCCTCCTCCGCTCCATCAAACACCCAACAATCTCTGAATCAATTTATGCGGTTTATTCAGTCGCAAATTTCTGGTAGTAATTCTCCAAGGTTCTCGTTTCATGATTCTTGGATCACGAGCGTATCTCCATGGACATTCTCTTTGCTCAGATCCAAGCCGACCTTCGCTCCAACGACGCGCTTCGCCAATCCGGTGCTCTCCTACAGGCGCTGCAACAATCCGCCGCCGGCCGGGATATCTCTGTTATCGCCAAGTCCGCCGTTGAGGAGATCGTAGCCTCCCCTGCTTCTGCCGTCAGTAAGAAGCTCGCATTTGATCTTATTCGCTCTACTCGTCTTACTTCGGATCTTTGGGACATTGTGTGCACTGGCATTCGCACTGATTTCGACTTTCCTGACCCTGATGTCACCGCTGCTGGGGTTTCAATTCTCGCTGCGATCCCTTCCTATCGCCTTGTCAAGCTGATTAGTGACTCCCATAAAGAAATTTCTGCTTTTTTCGATTCCAATAGTGATAATTTGAGGTTCTCGATCACCGAAACTTTGGGGTGTATTCTTGCTAGGGATGACCTTGTCACGCTCTGTGAGAATAATGTTAGTTTGCTAGATAAGGTTTCCAATTGGTGGTCGCGTATTGGGAAAAACATGCTGGATAAGTCGGATGCGGTTTCAAAGGTTGCGTTCGAGTCAGTCGGAAGGTTGTTCCAGGAATTTGATTCGAAGAGAATGAGTAGGTTGGCAGGTGATAAGTTGGTGGATAGTGAAAATTCACTTGCTATTAGGTCCAATTGGATTTCATCAATGGCGGACTTCGTTTGGAAGAAGCGAAATGCATTAATGGCGAGGTCCCTGATTCTGCCTGTGGAGAGCTTTAGGGCCACTGTGTTTCCAATTGTGTATGCAGTGAAGGCTGTGGCTTCTGGGGCAGCTGAAGTCATCAGTAAGCTTTCGAAATCTTCTACTGGAAATGGAACCACTATGGACTCAAGTGCGGAGAGGTTTGTGGGAGTCTCAGATGTAGCAACCCATTTGGCGCCATTTTTAGCTTCGTCGTTGGACCCGGCATTGATTTTTGAGGTAGGGATTAATATGCTGTACTTGGCTGATGTGCCTGGAGGGAAGCCTGAGTGGGCTTCTCAGTCGATCATAGCAATTCTCACGCTCTGGGATAGGCAAGAATTCTCTTCTGCTAGAGAGAGTATTGTTCGGGCAGTTGTTACCAATCTTCACCTCCTTGATCTGCACATGCAGGTATGTGTGTTCAAATCATCTATTCTACTTTTTGTTATGCAACATGTTGTCCTGCATTTTTGTGGCGTGTAACTAAGATTATAATTGCTTCACAAGATCTCATATCTTTGCCTGGACCTTAAAAGTAGGACTGTATCCTGACATATGATGTCTGTTGTTAGTAGGTTTCATTGTTCAAGAGACTACTTCTTATGGTGAGGAACTTGAGAGCAGAGTCAGATCGTATGCATGCCTTAGCGTGTATTTGTCGTACAGCTCTCTGTGTCGACCTTTTTGCCAAAGAAAGTGTTCGTAGAGGTCAAAAACCTCTTGCAGGAACTGATATTGCTTCTTTATTTGAAGATGTTAGAATTAGAGATGATCTTAATACTGTTACGAGTAAAGGCTTGTTTAGGGAGGAATTGGTTGCTTCATTGGTGGAAAGTTGCTTTCAGTTATCTTTACCTTTGCCCGAACAGAAGAACTCTGGGATGGAAAGCAGAGTTATTGGAGCCTTGGCCTATGGAACTGGTTATGGAGCACTAAACTGGACAGAGCCTGCATTGGAGGTGGTTGAAGTCTGTAGGCCCTGTGTCAAGTGGGATTGTGATGGCCGCACATATGCAATTGATTGTTACTTGAAGTTGCTAGTTAGGCTATGCCATATATATGATACCAGAGGAGGAGTAAAAAGAATCAAGGATGGAGCATCTCAAGATCAAATTTTGAATGAGACAAGGCTGCAAAACTTGCAACGTGAACTTGTGAAAGATTTACGTGAGGTATTTCAATTTGTATATCTTTCTCTGTTCTAATATATTGACCTGCTTTTAATGGTTCTTTATTGTCAACTTAATAATGTGGCAGGTAAATACCCCAAGAATAACTGCCCGTCTTCTTTGGGCAATTTCAGAGCATATTGATCTTGAAGGCTTGGATCCCCTTCTAGCTGACGATCCTGATGACCCATTAAATATTATCGTTACAAATATCCACAAGGTCTTATCGAACGTAGATTCAGCAGTAGAGACAACAAATAGACTTCAAGATGTGCAGGCAGTGCTTTTGTGTGCTCAGCGATTAGGCTCTCGTCACCCTAGGGCTGGCCAGTTATTGACTAAAGAACTTGAAGAATTCCGAGCTAATGGCTTGGCAGATTCAGTCAACAAACACCAATGCCGTTTAATTCTACAGAGAATTAAGTATGCTTCAAACAATCCAGAAAGCAGGTCAGTATATATTGCCTTGCTAAATATCAACTTTTTTATGGGTGGTTTTCAGTGCTCACCATACGATGGCCCTCAGTTTTCAAGGAAAATATTTTTACCTCTAACGCTAGTCCTTGCTGAACAACCCAAATAGGCTAGCACCTTTTCTTCATTTCGGTGAAACAAGCATTCTCTCCCAAACTTGGACTTTTCTGTCATTTCTAATGGGATTAATGGCTACTACAACTTTCTAGGTAGGACACTTTTATTTAGGTTTGGTTATCTTTTACATTTGAAGCCTGTTGAGTAAGGATGGTAGGCAGCAGAGGCTGGTTGGTTCATGTTAGCTTGTTTTTTATCCATCATCTTTGGAAAGAAGGACTCGAAGTTGGATTTGGGAGTTCACACTGCGAAACTCTTGTTTTTTCTTTTGTTTTTTATCCATCATCTTTGGAAAGAAGGACTCGAAGTTGGATTTGGGAGTTCACACTGCGAAACTCTTGTTTTTTCTTTTCAGATTTTTTTTCTTCTGTTTTTACTTGAAAAATAAACAAGTGACAAGTTTATTTAATGAAGTCAATTTTGCTTGATTACAGGTGGGCTGGTGTCAGTGAAGCCAGAGGAGATTACCCATTTAGCCATCACAAACTAACCGTGCAGTTCTATGAAGCAGCTGCAGCTCAGGACAGAAAATTGGAAGGTTTGGTTCACAAGGCTATTTTAGAGCTTTGGAGGCCAGACCCTAGTGAATTAACTCTTTTGCTGACAAAAGGAATTGATTCTACTCTTCTCAAGGTTCCTCCAACTGCAATTACTTTGACTGGCAGTAGTGATCCTTGCTATGTTGAAGCATATCATTTAGCAAATTCAAGCGATGGAAGGATTACTCTACATTTGAAGGTTAAAGATGTTTCTTTTCTCATTACTGCTGTTTATTTTGTTAATAGTCCATAATGTATCGGGAAAATACCTATCCCCTTAATGAACAAGGGTTCAATAGTAAAGAGACAAAAAATAGGATCATTAGGTTGAACCAACATTCTAGCTGCCTACAAACACCATACAAAAGTTACAAGAAGCGTACCTAATTGTCAGTAATAGAAAAGAAAAATGAAGAGCTCTAGAACACGAAGATATCCCACATGTAGCTACAGAAGCAGAATCACACTCAAAATCTTATGATGCAATACTTCCTTTAGTATTTTTGCCAACTCCTTGGTAAGGGCTTTATATATTAGGTAATGAGTCTAATTGCCCGAGAATCCTACTGATATGAACTAAGACATCTCAATTATACAATATAAATTTCAAAGAAGTTGTGAAGAATGTTGTCCAAATTATCACGAGATAAATCAGGTTACATTAAGTGAAGTCAAGTTTTATTAAAGTTGAACAAAGCTGGATCAAGCATCAAAAGTGTCAAAAAGAAGAATAATATTATACAATGAAAAAATCCAACTAAACAGAAGAGTCCAATTACAATTGACCTCTGATCGTTTACGTTAAGAATGAGTAATATCTCCAAAAGAAATTTACCTTCAATTTTCTTTAACACTCAATTACCAGTATCCTATGATATGACAGACCCTGAAAGCCAAGGAAGAGCTATGCATCAAGACTGGCTTAGCTAAAGAAATTCAATTACAAATATCCCTTATTATCTACAATCAAGAATAAAGGAATATCTGAAAAATGTTTTCATGCTTCTTTTACTATCTGTTGAATATTTATTTGGTTATCTTCTGGGTGACGTGTGAGTGTATCATGTTGCAGGTTCTAAATTTAACTGAGCTTGAACTAAATCGTGTGGATATCCGAGTTGGGTTGTCTGGAGCATTATATTTCATGGATGGTTCTCCTCAAGCAGTGAGACAGCTGCGTCACCTTGTGTCTCAGGTACCCATTTGTAGTGTATCATTTTTCTTTTCTTTGGTTATACTTTCCATTTTTTATAGTGGTTAGTATGTTGGACAGCAACTTTCCATTACGTGACAGAAAAAATACGGCAGCTATTTTCATTTTAAATTACTTCCGACTGTGATTGTTTAGAAGCCTATTGTAGACAAGAATATATAGCTCGATGGAACTATCAATTTAGTGAGTTTGATTGAGTCAACCACTGCCTAGCATTAAGCTTTTGAAATAAATAGATGTGCTCGTTAATGAAGATTTTGTTTCTTTTTAAGAAATATATTGATAAATGTAGCATCAGAGCAAGATAGTTATCTCTAATGATTGAAAAAACCTAGTAATTCAAATGTTGGCCCTTTTCGTTAAACAAATTTGAAAACTTGTGCTCGGAGAATGTTAAGAAACATCTTTAATAATTTATTGGTTATGACCTAATAAATTATTATGCCTTTGGGATCAATTATAAGTAACTTCTCACTTGATATTAGAAAAACCTTGTTCACTTGCTATCTCTTGCCTTGTTCCTCAAGGAAAGGCTATCTCACTACTCTGCTTCCCCCGTTTCCAGGATCCAGTTCTGTGCAGTGTGACAGTTGGTGTTTCACATT